ATTACGAAGTGATTGAAAAGTTTACAATTTCAATTATTAAAGTAGACAAATTTTATCATTGATTTAAAATTTATCTTGAAAATATGGGCTGAATTGTAATTTCACCAATATTATGCAATGTCACAAACACAAAAACAATATGTACAAAAAATGACAACTCAAAATGTAATATGTAAGACCAACTTATTTGATAAGTTGGAGATACATATATATATATATATATGATGGTTAGGTGAAAATATGTTAACCACACCATATAGCTCTAATGAATTTTTTTTCTCCCCGACATGGTTACTTTATGTGATATTGATGTCAACCACAATTTACGTAGTAGAAGTAAGCTGACCACACAAAATAAATTAGGGAAAATTGTTAATCAATTGAAAGACTTAAATTTTTTTACACAGTGATTAAAAGTTCATAATTTCAATTATTGAAGTTGATAAAGTTTATCACTGATTTGAAATTTATTTTGAAAATATAGGCTGAATTGTAATTTCTCCAATAATAAGGGTGAAGTGCACATTAATGTTCACATTGACATTGTGAATGTACATGTTTGAAGTTTCAGATTGTAAAGGATTTGTACTTATGTTAGATGGATTTGATATTTTTCTTATATTTAATATGTTACTACTTTTGAATTAAATTTATATTTTGGATGCTTTGCATAAGTGGTTTAATTTATTTTATTTTTTTTGATTGCGTGTATGTTTAGAAATGATACACAAGAAAAGTAAGTTTGGGTTTGGATTATTTTTTCTAGGTTTATGAACTAAACCGGAAAATTATAAAAAAATATAAATAATGAATTTTTTGTGACAAGTTTTCAGTCATTAATTTACTTTTGGTGACAATTTGATTTGGTTGCTAAAAATCTATATAAAATAGGATATAGATTTTTAGCAACCAAAAACTTGATTGGTGCCAAAAGATTTGACATTCAACAACCAATTTGCTTCAACATTAAAAAATATTTTGGTGGCGCCTTTATATGTCACTAAAACCTAACATGAGCATCTGTTTAAGGCTACTTTTAGCTACTAAATGTTAATTTATGACAACAAAATTTTTAGTGTTTGATGACTAAAATATTTGGTCATTGATTCTTTCATAAGGTGACCATAGTTTATTTAGTCGCTGAATCATTTACTGACATGGAATCAGTGATCATTTTTTTTTTTTTTTTTTTTTTTCTGATACTTTTAATGAAAAAAATTACACTTATGGCGATTAACATAAACACTGCTAAAAGTTTTTTTTTCCTGTAGTGCGGAAAGAAGTGGGTCCGTTGTAACAAAAAGCCTTATCATAGTTTCAAATTTTCATATTTAATTTCTTGATTTTATTAATTTTAAATTGACAAAGAATCATAGTGCTATCATTAGGATCCGTGATACAATTCACAATTCATGAATGAATTGATGTGAATCTATAAATGGATCTACTTTGGAATAGAATCAATGATGAATATTATGATTCACAGTTCGATTCACAATTTACAATTTATGCGATTCTAAGAACCCTTGATTCTAATTGATTCCAAACTTCTTATTTAATGAAAATGCCAGAATACAAATTGTAAGAGTGTTTAGTAAAAAAAATAACCAATACCCATGCATGATTTGTTATTATTTATTCCTTAGGTGATTAGAAAAATTAATCAGTGTGTTTAGTTTCAATTTTCTGAATTCAATTTTCTGAAAATTGAGTTTTTTTATTTTTCCAATTTTTTTGTTTTTAGTGAATATTTTTAAAATTTTACTTTAACTTTTTCAGATGCACCTTACTTAAATGTATCTAAATAGTAAAATATTTGTGAAAAAATATTTTTTAAAATTGATAAATACACAAAAATATGAAAAATGTACTGAATTTCCGTTTTTTTTTTTTTTATATTTAGTGAATTTTTTAAAGATTTTTTTCACAAATATTATACTTTTTAATTATATTTATATTAAGTGTATCTAAAAAGTAAAAAATTGCTTAAAATATTTTTAAAAATTATTTAAAATAAAAAAATACGAAAAACAACCAATTTTTAGAAAATTGATTCTGAAAATTGGAACCAAACAAGGTTCAATTTTTTTTTATTGCAGATGTTAACCCATGAGATATTACAATATTTTTACGATTGTAGCATTTGAGAGTTTTAATTTATATATATATATATATATATATATTGTTAGATATATAGCAGTCAGAGAAAGTTGATAATACAATGATGAATTTACCTACCCCAAAAAAAAAAAAAAATACATGCTTTAATTGTAATTTCGCCAGTGACCCTTTTTTATTATCAGCAATGCTAGGAGCCACAAATTATGTGGCTCAAATGGCCCAAAACTGCCAAAGCGACGTCGTTTTGGGTGCAAAACACGTCGTTTTGGCAGTTTCAGGCCATTTGAGCCACATAATTTGTGGCCACCAAACATTTTCCTTCATTTTCAAATTTCACTACTTTAAGCAAAACTTGCGATGATGGTCACTTAAGTTGACAACATGTAAGTTTTGCTTCTTTTTTTAATTTAAATTTGTTGTGTTTATTTATTTATTTATTTTTATTTTCAATGTAGAACTACAAATCATTTGAAATTTTCCATGAAAGTCCTTGAACTTTTCATGGAAGTCCTTGACCGTAGAGTTACAAATCATTTGAAATTTTCCATAGAAGTCATTTTGATCATCATTTATACATGTGAGATCATGTTTTTACTTAAGTTGGCATTCGTCAGTATATTATTTATCATATTATTATGAATTATGAATATCAAATCATTTTACTTTTTAGTTTTGTCAATACCCATTATTTCAATAATTTTTTGATATTTGCCTTTTTTTTTCTTTTTCTTTTTGCTTTTTTAAATTTTTGAATTTTTTTGCAATCTTTGAACATTTTTCTTGCAAATTGTTTGACATATGTATTGATTAGTTAGCCATCATATATACGAGTCCTATTACATGATTATGACTTATAATTTTTTATTTATTTTAATATTTTTTTGTGGCACAAGCAAATTTATACTGATATCATTCGCTCTTTATTTTTTCAAATCTCTGACTAATATGGAGGACTCATAAATGTATGTATTGATGTTTGATTCAATATGTATGTATCTCGTTTTCATCAATAAAAGTTACTTTTCCATTTAAAAAAAATCGCTTATAATTGCTTCAAATCTCTAACTAATATCAAGGGCTCACAAATAGTATGTAACCTCATAAAATCATAGAGACAATTCAAATGACTAACCCAACCTAAATATTGTAAATTTGATTTTTATATACATAGTCTTATAAGATAGAGATAGGAAAATATAACCAATGTTTTTTGAATTATTTAATTTAGAAACAAATATGATTTTTTTAAATTGACTTTAAAATGTTATTGATTCAAGTCAGGGAATGATGTTAATTTCATATTCTTAGCCAAGCTCAAAAATTTTCTTAATGAATTTTCTTCACGTTTTCTCATACAATTAAAAAATCCATTCCAAAACACAAAACTTTTTTTTTTTTATCTCTTAAAATAGTCAAAAAGCCATTTAAAATGTTAATTTCAAACAACCACTTTAAAATATTTAAAATTTACTTATCTATCTTTTTAAATTATTTTTAATTTATCAAGAAATAAATTTATCCATTATTATTTAATGATTGTACGCTAATTTGTTTTAAACTGAACAAATTGTTTGTTGATTGCCATATATGTATATATATATATATATATTTATTATGTATGATAGTATTCAATTCATAAGTCCCAACACGAATGGAGGGACAAAAGGAATTTCAAGATTGTGTAGGGAGTGATGGACTGTGGAGTGATAGTGTTGAGGATATTCCATCAAAGCCATCAAAGCCCAAGCGTAACTCACAACTCAGCTCATGTTCTAGTTCAATGATGAAGCCAAGCTGCAGCTCAGTTTATGTGACTTCATCAGTTTAAACAGAAATCAGTTAGATAGTTTGAACAAATACCAGTTACATAGTTTGTTAGTTTGTTAAATAGTTACAAGTAATTAGCACATGTGGTTTAGATACATATCTCTTATATAGGTATAGCTATAGCTATAGCTATATATATAAGGATAGCTTTAGCTATATATATACAGATAGCTTGTACATTTGATGTATGAAATAAGAGATTAATCTTTTCATCATGGTATCAGAGCATTGAAGCTCTAACGAGCATTCTTCCATGGCAGCTTCCGCATCATCTCTGTCTTCAAATATTTCATCTAATCTTTCACTTCTAATCTCCAATCTGTCTTCTTTTGTGACAGTTAAACTTGATTCTACCAATTTCATTATTTGGAGTAGTCAAGTCTCTAATATCCTTAGAGCTACTAATCTTCTTGGATATGTTGATGGCTCCATTTTCTGTCTTTTTTCTATGATCATTAATGGAGAAGGTCTGGAAGTAACCAATCCAGATTTCATTCTATGGAATCTAATCAATGCTCACTTATTGAGTTGTCTCAATGCTATTGTATCCCCTCCGATCTATTCTACCACTCTTCAATTTCATCATTGTGCCGAAGTCTGGTTTGCTCTTCACAAGAAATTCACTTCTCTTTCAAGAGCACATATCCATCAGTTGAAGAATAAATTGAATTCTGTTATGAAGAGGTCTAAATCAACGGAGGAATATCTTTCCAAAATCAAAGCTATCGTAAGTCAATTGGCTCTTGCATCAGTAGCTATTGACAATGAAGATCATGTTCTATTAACCTTAAATGGTCTTCCTGATGAGTTTAATGCCTTCAAAACAACAATTCGAGCCCGATCTGGTTGTATTTCAATGGAAGAGTTGTCTTCTTTTTTGTGTTCTGAAGCAGTTCACATGGAAGCAAAAACTAAAAAAGTTTTTGAACCAACAGTTGCACTATCTACTGTCAAAGGCTTTGCTTCTCCTACTTCTTCTACCTTTTCTCCTCGAAGACATTCATCTTGAGGTAGATTATCTTTCAGAGGAGGCAGATATTACAAAGGAGGCAATGGCAATGGCAAATTCTTTATCCATTACACTCGAGGAAAAGGAAGATATTCACAGAATTCTCATAGCTCTCAAACTTGTCAAATTTGTGGAGGTTTTGGTCATTTAGCTCTTGATTATTGGCATCAAATGGACTCTCAATATCAGTCTTTGCCTCCTAATGCCATTCGCTTGTGCCTTATACGGGGACTTTCTTCAGAAGAACTGGTAGTTTCAGGTTGCCCCTTCTTCCTGGGCTCCGGGGATAACGAGTTGAAGCCACTATCAGTGTCGTCTTGTCGGGCTCGAGGTCGTCGACCACCTGCCTTCGGAGATCGATCCGGATTTAGGCGTACAGCTTGTTTGGATTTCGCCACTTCCAAGGCCAAATCTTCACGAAGACGTTCGTTCTCCGTGATAATGTTCTCCAACCTTTGTTCGTTTTGCTTTGCTTGTTCCATAATCGCTTGCATTGCTTCACGCTCTGGAGTCGAGGGTGAGGCGAAGTTCAAAGCGCATCTTACAGGGATGGCGTCCGGTCCAAGCATGTTTGATAGAGTGAGGTCGTCTCTTTGTGTCGTTTCATCAGTGGCTATCGGAGGGTCTTCCGTTGCGCCTGCCATGGATGTGTTTGAGTATTCCCACAGACGGCGCCAATTGTGGAGAAGTGGTTTGGAAATACTCTTCTAATCCTGGGGGGAGCTCGTGATCCGCTGATAGTCACCTAAAAAGGAATGAACACTCCGGTCGGGGGTGCCGGAATTAGCAATCCGACAGATAAGTCAGTGTATACTCCCTTCGTTGCTTATATCTCAAGTTAAACTTACTTGTTCTCACCTACCTTTCTTTGGCTGATGCTCCTCTATTTATATTCTTCTTTTGGACCTTACGGTCGATCCCACCCTTAATCCATTGCATGTTTATGAGTTCGGCTTTTGTTCGACTGGTTCCATGGCCAATTAATATATTCGGTTTTGGGGTCGCCCAAGTTGAAGCCGAATACAAATTTTGTCCTTGACTGTCTGTATACCGTTATTCGCCTTTGTTGCCTCCATAATATCTGGCTCCCACAATTGCCCCCCAAACATCTTATTAACGCGAGTTATTCGACACTGAACTGAATGTCACGATTCATTTCGTTTTGGATGCAATTGACAAAGCACACGAAGCTTCGACCATCATTTTCAATACCTTCGACGCTTTTGAACATGACGTTTTAGAAGCACTGTCAACAATGTACCCACCCATATACCTCATTGGCCCTCTTCAATTTCTTCTCGACCAATTCCCACAAAATCACTTGAATTCCATTGGATCAAGCCTATGGAAAGAAGAAACAGAGTACCTTTCATGGCTTGACTCGAAACAACCCAATTTAGTCATTTACGTCAACTTTGGCAGCATCACTGTTATGACACCCCTACAATTGATTGAATTCGCCTGGGGTCTCTCTAATAGAAACCAAACATTCTTATGGGTCATTAGGCCTGATCTAGTTGTTGGTGACTCGGCGATTCTTCCACCGAATTTTGTGAGTGAGACTAAAGAAAGGAGTCTATTAGCAAGTTGGTGCCCTCAAGAACAAGTCCTCAATCACCCATCAGTTGGAGGTTTCTTAACACACAGTGGATGGAATTCGACTCTTGAAAGTATTTGTAGTGGGGTCCTTATGTTGTGTTGGCCATTTTTTGCCGAGCAACAGACAAATTGTTGGTCACGTTGCAGCCAATGGGGTGTAGGGATGGAGATACACAGCGATGTTAAGAGAGAGGAAGTTGAGAGAATGGTGAGAGAGTTGATGGGTGGAGAGAGAGGGAAAGAGATGAAAAGAAAGGTCAGGGAGTGGAAGAAGTGGGGTGAAGAGGCCACGACTTGTTCTATTGGGTCATCTTACTTGAATTTTGAGAAGATGGTCAGACTTGTGCTTATGTCTGCTGGTTTAAATCAAAGTAGCTAGTGTGTGTGCACATTTTCATCTTACAAGCAATTTCTGAAATAAGTTGTTTCTTTTTTCTTTCTTTTTTTAATTGTTTGGAATAATGTTGTACAAGTATTGTCTTGACAGGGGGTTAGGGATGGATTTGTATTTTGATTTCCATTGTGTCTCAGAATTGTATTATTATGCTTTTTTAATAAAGAACAGGTTCTTGTTGTAGTTTTTTTTTCTTATTTTTTTTTTCTATTTTTGTCATTAAATAATGCCATATACATAATTTTAGGTTATTCTTTAATCCAAATAAGCTTTCCTCCAATCAAGATTACTGAACCCTCTTCCTGCCACCAAAAATGGAACTTGTGTTCTGTAATTTTATTTTTTATTTTTTTATATCTAACAGCATAAAATATCATAATTTTATTATCATTTGTGATATAATTTGATTAAGAGTCGTTCTAACAAATGCTCCTAAATTTTGTTTTCGTCTCCTATACTTTTGAGAAAAATTAAAACAAACGACAAAATTAATATTTCGTCATCTTTGGGTTAAATTTTAAGACAAAAAAAATTTCGTCACCAAATTTTGTCACAATAGCCCAGATTTCTTGTATTTTTTATTGATTTTAAGCATTTGGTGACGAAATTTCGTTTTCCTCTCTTTGGGTTAAATTTTAAGACAAAAAAAATTTCGTCACCGAATTTTGTCACAATAGCCCAGATTTCTTGTATTTTTTATTGATTTTAAGCATTTGGTGACAAAATTTGGTTTTCCTCTCTAAAAATGATACATTTGGAGATAAAATTATTTCCTCTCTAAATTTTTTTACAATGGTGACGACAAATTTCGTCTCCAAAATGGCGCCAAATCTTCCACCAAATTTTCCAAGGGCGGGAAATTGTTTTGTGACGAAAAATAAAATTTAGAGACGAATAAAATTTTCGTCACCTATATAATGCATGCTCATGCATTGGCCCATCAACTAGGCCTAAGAGCACAACTCTCAAACATGATCAAGAAGTGACAAATGTGGAAGTGTGACAACACTATATGCACTAAAATATCATGTGAAATGATGTCATGGCAAGCAAACATCTCAAGTTTGGCACGCTAGAAGGCTCAAAACTTGAAACTAGCATAGGCACTTGCACTATAGCTATGAAATACATGAGCCATATAGCCAAGGCAACCCAAAATAGTCCTAGAACATGTCAAGATGAGGCTAAAACATGGATGGGGCAAAGCCAAAACAAGTTAGCGTGAAGGGTCAAAACATCAAGTAAGCTAGGCCAATGAGCATGGTTACACTACCCCTATCAAAACCAAGCATGGGGTGACTTCACCAACAAAAATCAGAGTTGTATTATGGCAAAATAACACCCAAAACACATTGATATGGCAGCCCAAAAGCCTAAGCAAGATGGCATACACAATGGCTCATATTTAAAGCATAAAGGACCAACCTTCCAAAGCATTGAATGAGTGTCAGATGTGAGCGTATGGCCACACTACATGCACTGAAATCACATATCAAATGATGCCAAATCATGCAAAAGGCCCAAGCAATGCATGCTAGTGACTTGGAAACTCAAAGCTAGTGAGTTAGAATGCACTATGGCTATACAAAGCAAAGCATTCATGACCAAAACAACATAAATCAGACCTTAAGCATGGTAAAACATGAACAAAAGCTTCTTTGAGTAGAGCCAAAAGCATGCTAGAATGATGGTCCAAAGCGTGATGCATGTTAGGCTAATGAATGGAAATGCACTACAAGTGCAAGGAGCATGCAAGATGCTATCAAACCAACCTAAAACAGAGCTAAGGCATGCTAAAACAACACCAAAAACATGCTGAGATAGAGCCAAAATGGGCTAGCAAGACATGCTAAAACATGAGGCATACAAGGCTAGTTTGCAAGGATTACACTACAAATGTATAAAGCATGCAAGGGTGGCCTAAACTAAGCCAAAACAGAGGTATGCCATACTGAAATAAGGCCAAAAATATGCTGAGATGGGGCCAACATATACTAGATAAACATGCTCAAACATGAGGCCACCAATTTTGCTTCAGTTGGTTCTGTTTTGAGCTGTAATTCTGCATTTCTTTCTTGTGCTGATTCAACACCGCTGGGACTGCACTGATTTTGGCTTTGATCTGTTTTTGCTGATCTGCGGGTTCTGAGTGGACTGCACTGACCTGTCTGTCTTGCTGATCTGTTTTGAGGCATCCTTGGAAGGCTTGTTCATTCTATCAGACCACAACAGAGTGCTTCACACCCCTAGTGGTTTATGCCTGGGACCCTCCACTAATTAAGATGATGGGCAAGCTAGGCCTCCAATCTTTAGTGCAGTGGAGTGTGTTCTGAGAAGGATGCAGATGGAAGGCTGCAGCTCTGTGTTGTTTTGTATTTTGGTATTCTGCTTTGGTGCATAGGTTTTGGCTCTTACCAGCTGTGTATACCAGTTGGTTCTTTGTTCCTTTTAGTTTAGTCTATCTGTTATCTTGTTGGTTCCTTTAGTCTATCTTGTTGGTTCCTCACCAGCTGGCGCTTGGTGCTTTTTAGCACCAAGCTCCTCTTTATTGATGTAATATTGCTCTTTGTATGTTTCATCAATAAAGATTTAACTTTTGCCGATCAAAAAAAAAAAGGCAATGCTATTCGAACAGAATTTATATACTAAAATTTCATATAGAATGATATACTTCAGTTTAATTCATTCATTGGAAATCAAGACACCTATCACTATGATTTGCAATTGCAATAATTATTGGAAAGACAAACTCAATTTGAGTTTGAAAATGGTGATTTACAGAAAAGAGAAGAAGCTGTTAGAGAATTCCAGGTTGAAGAAGAGGAGTTCAGAATGATGTAGAAGAGAAGAGGAAGCTTCATGGAGGTTGCCATGGTCAAAACCTTAAGGAAGAAGAAATACCATAGCACACTGATTATACATAGTTTGTAGAGTCTATAAATAGAGAGCTTGTATGTTTGTTCGAGATAGAGTGAGAGAAAAATAACATCTCCAGGAGTGGGAGTTTTCTAAGAGAGTTGAGTGGTTTGAGAGTTAACAGAGAGTTGCTTTGTTTTTTATAATTTATTTGAGTTTGAATAAAATGAGTGTTTATTCAATTTATTTCCTCTTTTTGTATACCATCACAACCGGTATACACCCCTCTCCCACTTTCAATAGCGGTATCAGAGCTAGAAGAGCCAGTTTGAGCCAATATTTTGAAGAAACAGAGAAGAAACAAAGAAGTTTCAAAATTTGTCCAGATTTCGAAGGTGTCGAAATCAATTTCTGAATATATCAGAGGGTTCGTGTCGACTAGAGGAGTCCAAAATCATTAACCAAAAGAGCCAAGAATTAACCAAAATTCGTCGATAAATGCGACATCCGAAAATAGAAATTTTTTGAAGTTATCGAAGTTCAATTTTGAATATATCAGATTAAAGTATTTGTTAAGAGGATTCTGACGATATAAAGAACAGCTCAAACAGAGCTAAAACGAAGCCATACAGGGCAGTCAAAGTTTGTCCAGAAAGTCAACTGTTTCATCGGAGAGAAAGAACCAGTGAAGAAATTATCCAGTGTGACACAGTTGAGTTGTTTCTGCAAATCCCAGCAAGAATCAATAGATCATGTGCTGATTTTCTGCCCCATGGTATGGAGAGTTTGGTCAGAGCTTCTACAATGGTGGGGGGTAGTTTGGGTGGTCCCTGGGTCTATACAAGGGCTGTTCCAGTGGTGGGCTGGACATAGCTGCAGAAATGAAGCAAGGAGGATTTGGAGTGCTATTCCTCTGGTGACCCTGTGGTCATTGTGGAAACACAGAAACGAATGTATCTTCCAAGGCATACAACCTCAGCTTCATGATCTTCATGAACTCATCATCACCAGACTAGCCTTCTGGTATAAAGCTGCGTCCCAAAGGTTTCATTTTTCAATTCATGACTTCCTCTTCAACTTCCCTCAAATCAGATATTGCCTTGATGGTAGGTCCTCGTAGTTTTGATATGGGTGATGATCTTGCTTTGGTCTTGATTCAGTTCTGACCTTCACAGACTTGTCTCAGTTCTGTTTTGCTGAGACCTTGGCTCAGTTCTGGTCTGCACAAGATCTGTTCAGTTGGTACTGGTTTATTCTGAATTCTATTGGGCTGCACTGTACAATTTTGCTTCAGTTGGTTCTGTTTTGAGCTGTAATTCTGCATTTCTTTCTTGTGCTGATTCAACACTGCTGGGACTGCACTGATTTTGGCTTTGATCTGTTTTTGCTGATCTGCGGGTTCTGAGTGGACTGCACTGACCTGTCTGTCTTGCTGATCTGTTTTGAGGTATCCTTGGAAGGCTTGCAATCAGCTGGGGTGCTTATGCATTCTATTTTCATTCTGCTCCTGCGTTGAGATGGTATTGTTGGTAGGCAGTGGAGTTTCATTCTATCAGACCACAACAGAGTGCTTCACACCCCTAGTGGTTTATGCCTGGGACCCTCCACTAATTAAGATGATGGGCAAGCTAGGCCTCCAATCTTTAGTGCAGTGGAGTGTGTTCTGAGAAGGATGCAGATGGAAGGCTGCAGCTCTGTGTTGTTTTGTATTTTTGGTATTCTGCTTTGGTGCATAGGTTTTGGCTCTTACCAGCTGTGTATACCAGTTGGTTCTTTGTTCCTTTTAGTTTAGTCTATCTGTTATCTTGTTGGTTCCTTTAGTGGGTTTTTTTTTTTTTTTTTTTTTTTTTTTTACTTTTTTAATGCATTAATGCTATTAGTGGTGATGTTTTTAGTGGGATGAATCATTGTTGTATATTTAAATATAAATCCTAACTAGGAAATGTTTTGAAAAAATGCTATAAATCTCAAATTTTTTAACAAATAAATGATTAAATATGTCATTTATATAGTAGAAAATTTGGTATGCTTAACCCCACCTAACATTTTGAGTTCCTAACACGTGCCTTGTTTTTGTTGCCCACGTGGGTGAGACATTATTGGTCTTCGCTGGTTTGCGTTTTTTTTTTTTTTTTTTTACAGATCACTGGTTTGTTTGTGTTTCGCATTTTCTTCTATAAAAGCTCTGCAAAGTAGCTCTTTTCAATGTGTAAAAAGATTAATCATGCCAACAAGAGACATGAGTTCTTCTAAGGCACATCAACAAACACACAACCCATGTCCTCCTCATGTGGTGTGCATACCATACCCAGCACGAGGCCACATCA